CATACTGAGGAAATATCAGAATGGCTTTAGAGCAAATAGATCTTCCTCTGGCCAGGTATTAACCATTCGCAGAGAGCTTGAAGGAGTTAAGGCAAAAAATCTCCCTGCAACTCTTCTATTCATCGAATTCTCTAAAGCCTTCGATTCCATCCATCGTGGGAAAATGGAGGAAATCCTTATTGCATATGGAATCCCCAAAGAAACAACAGATGCYATCATGATGTTATATAAAGACACCCGCTCTATGGTACGTTCTCCCGATGGAGACACCGACTTCTTCAAAATCACCACTGGAGTCCTTCAAGGAGATACCCTGGCCCCCTTCCTATTTATCATCTGCCTGGACTACGTCCTAAGAAACCCTTGACGATAACATCGAACTCGGCCTCACACTAACAGAAAGGAGGAGCAGACGCAATCCAGCTCAGAAGATCACCGATGCTGACTACGCTCATGACATCGCCATACTCACCAACTCTCTAAATGATGCAACTGTACTTCTTCACAACATTGAGAAGTTTGCGGAAGAAATCGGGCTCTATGTAAACGCCGAAAAGACAGAATTCATCTGCTTAAACCAAGATGCCTCAGAAGGCTTGAGCAGTCTTAGTGGCGAAAATCTCAAGCAGGAGGACGATTTCAAGTACTTAGGCAGCTTCATCGCCTCAAACGAACGTGATGTCGATATCAGACTAGCCAAAGCGTGGGGAGCACTAAATCAAATGGATAACATCTGGAAATCAAATCTACCCGACGAAAAGGAATTTCTTCAGAGCCACAGTTGGATCTGTCCTCACATATGACTCGATCTCCTGGACCCTTACCACCAGACTGGAGAACAGGCTAGACGGAGCATATACCCGTATGCTTCACGCTGCGCTAAACAGATCCTGGCGTGATCACCCTACCAACAAAGAGCTATATGGTAACATTCCACCCCTCAGCCAATCTATCAGACGGCACCGACTACACTTTGCCGGTCACTGCTGGCGCAGCAAACAAGAACTGGCAGGAGACTTGGTCCTCTGGGCGCCCTCCCATGGCAGAAGATCACAAGGCCGCCCAAAAATGACCTATCCAGAACAACTAGCCAACACTATTGGCTGCCTGCCTCAAGAACTTCCCGCTCTGATGAGCAATAAGGATGAGTGGACGAGAACTGTGTCGAGTATTAGCCGAGCTAGCTCGACACAGTAAGTAAGTAAGACCAATAGAATGAGCCTAATAGGTCACATGCATGAACCTTTATGTCTGATAAAACACTCCTTATTAGTATGCTTTATAAAAAGAATACTAATAAGGGTGACCTTTATCAGATATACATGTAAATGTCCATGACTCTAGCAAAGGTCTCAGGTTTGAAACCTGATCACTGACCAATGCAGGATGTCAACCGATTGCAGTGAACAGTGAAGAACGCTTCTATTTTATTTTATGCATATTCAATGTGGGATAACAAAAGTGCTTTGTAAAGTGATTCGCACATGATCAGTTTGCTCCATTTATCTCAGAACATATTTGTATGTCAATTTCTCCAAGAATTTTAACAGACTTGAGTTTCAAATTAGTGTTGGAGTTTTTGAAGCCGTTTAAAACACTCAAGATCGTGTTTTAAACTATACATTGAGGAGTTCCTAGAGCGGACAAACTTAGTCTGTGAAACTTTACAGTTTTTAGCAGTGGGTGTTGGAAAAAGGGGAAAGTTATCCGTAGTTTTTGCACCCCTTTAGTGCAGAGAAGTAAACACATAATGAGAGATGTACTAGTCCTTAAATACTTTTGATACCTTGTTACTGTCTGCCTCAATAGAAATTTGTATGGCAGTCCATTTTAATGATATTCATAATGTGATCAAGTATTCTAAACTTTAACTGCTTTTTTTCGTACATTGTCTACTGATGAATCGATACATTTTGAATAGCTGACCTGYGAATTTTGCCTCAGTAGTCACATGTAAAGGAATCAAGACGAGACTCTGTGCATAAAGCTCATTGTTTCTGCCGGAAATCAGGACATATAACTTTGAACTTTATAAACAGTAATTACAGTGATTTGGTGGACGTTTATCTGATTAGTAGTTTAGAATAGAAATGTAGTATTTTGTATCAGTATAGAGTGAACCACGCCGGTTTYGCCCGGTTACAGAAGTTTATCAGTTATTCAGCTTATTCCGTGCTAACCAGTGAAGATTATAAGTTATTCAGTGATAACCAGTTTTCAGTTCTAACCAGATCATCTACAAGGAAAGTAGACAAGACAAGATACCCACCACAAAGTAAGAATATTGATCTTATGACTGTATCGAGGTTGTTATTGATTGTAAGAGTTATAATGTAACTATTTTGTAATAATCATTGYATGCATGCCTTTAGAWCGAATAAATYCAAARCCAATCAGAATCAAATATACGATTTGTGKCTACATCACACCCATGTTTTTCAAAGAAACACTCATAGTTTTCACGATTGACTGAGCTTATGCATGGCATCTCATCTTGATTCTTTTGCGTTTGACAACTGAAGTGCAATTCGTAAATCGGCTATTCTTGGGTTGCAGTTACGTCATCACAATTTTTGTTTTACTCGCAGTAAAACATGACATTCATGTCCTTTTAGAGCATAAAAAAACTACATAGTTTGACAAAAAATTAGGATTGTAGAGCATTTGGTTGTGGAATTATTAGCAATTGAAGATACGCAAAATTTGGTAAAAATGCATGGCAAAAAATCCAGACAGTGGTCACATCTGAGCACCGGCTGGATTCAAAGGTTTACAAAACAACAGAAATTTGATTTTTTTTAAATATTTCGTGCTCCCGCACGGGCCAAAGGCCCGCGCGAGCGGAGCACCATAACTAAGGAAAAATGGTATACCCATGCGGCTGAGTTTTGATCAACYGACACAGGAAGCCCAGTTGTCCGTACATACGTACGTCCGTGTACATCGCGATTCTGGTTGGCTACTAGCTTTTGGCGGGAAAAAGAAGCGCGCTCGCGTCAATTTTTGAAAACAACTTTTTCACCAACCACGAAAACGACTCCATTTTTTCTTTGAATCACTTCACTTCTGAGCCAAAAATGTCGAAAATCAACGGGTAGCTAATGGAAAGCGATTTTTATCTGAATAACAAAAGACAAGAAGAAGAAAAAGAAAGCGCCGAAGAAGTCTTAGTCAAGAACAACACACAACGTGACTGAAGCAAATCCAGAAACAAGTGAACACCAAAGACAACGATTATTGAGGGAGAATTTCACAAAGAGGAGAATTGACATACATGTATTCTCCAACGATACCGTGGCGGTATGTTAGATTATTATATGACTATTTAGTATGGGAGCTGTCAAGCGGTTTTTGGTGCTCAAAACACAAGCAGTTTTAAATTTGGTTTTGAATTTGAAAATCTTCACCTGTACACTTCAAAACTTCTCAATTAAGCTTAAATCAGTTTGTTGACAATGAAAATACGTGTGAATTTTGTGTGCAAGCTACTTTATAATCTTTATAATGCATTTTAAAAAGCTGCTAGAGACTTGATGTTTATTTGAAAGTTCAGATTTTTATTATCATTTATGATTTATCACTGTATGATTGAGAAATATCAACAAAAAAATGTATTGATGATTATTGTTATTCCTGTGTTCATGTTTCCTGAATGAATGAAAAACCATTGCATCAAAACTGTCAAATTGCATTAATCATTTTTTTATGATYACTGTATGATTGAAAAATATCAACCACCAAAATAGTTATTATTTATCATTCCTGTGTGATTAAATAGAGGATATTACATGGTCGCATGGAAATATTGTGCTCACTCGATGGATATAAATTCAAAACTTCAAGATAAAAATTATATCTTCAAGCAACATGTAATGTTCTGTTTATTAAATGATTTTGGTGTAAGCAAAAAACTGTAACATAATCATAGAAGATCAAAAGGTTTGAACGTTTGATTTCTGCATTATTGAAAATACCAAAACTGTTAAAATGCATTTATATTGTTTTATGATTCCTGTAATGATTGAAAAATTCCAAAACTGTCAAAATGCGTTTAATATTAATTTATAATTCCTGTATAAAAAATGTCAAACTGTCAAAATATATTAATAATTAATATTAATTTATGATTGCTGTAATATTATCTACTAGAGTGAACTCACTTAATCCGTGAAAGTTAAATAGTATATAATAATTTTAAATAAGCTGAACTCCTTTATATTTTATTGTCTAATTAACACTATTTATTATTAATTAGTACTATTTGTTTCACGGATTTAGTATGTCCATTCTAGTAAGGATGTTTTTAATAGAAAGATTAATGTAACATAATTATACATGGTGTACTCTTCATAATAAATTGTGCGCTATTTGAATGTACACAACATTACAAGAATTCAAAATGAGTGGTTTTCTTTACATATTATATATATATCGATCACTACTTTGCACCGACAAAGCTGAAGAAGAAAGAGTTTAATATTTAATGTAGTGCCATGAACGTATTTCGTTTGCCAAAATAAAATAGTCTTAACAAAACACATGTAGTCTGACAAATGTGTTTTGCATCCCATTTTTATCCAACATGCATTGCATATCTTTTGGGAGCTCCGCTATTAGGTTTTACCTAATTTTTATATTATTTTTGAACTCAATAAAATGTGTATACATGAGGCAAAATATTTTTATGCACATCGAACTGTAATTGTTTTTATAGGTCTGTGACAGCGTTGCGTGACACAATTCAGTCTTTAATATCTCGAGAACCAAAAAATTGTTTTCACTCATTTTTGTTCTTATATCTTTTTCATACCCATAGTYATAACATATATTCTCGGTTTGCACATGACGTCATCAGTCGAAAAAAAATCTAAAATCACAGACAAACAACATTACAGTACTGAAATACCTTGAAGAGCATGATAGAAGTTCTCTCTGAAAGTTTCAACTTTTTTTGCTGTTTATTCGTTGAGTTATTCACGTTCAAAAATATGTCACGCAATACTGTCACGCGACTTGAAACACGNAATTTCTCAGACGTGCTCGAGTCAAGGATCGAAGCTGGGAACAATGGATTATGGGTCCCTTGGGATTGCTGAACTGCGACGTGGAAAAAAAATAAAGTCGCTGCATTTTATAATAATGAGATAGCAAATTGGGGTTCCTGTGCTATCACCTGCGTAAGGGTGCGCAGAGCATTCTGGGGTCGTGTCACATGAGAATACAACCTAGTGAATGACTTCATATTTTTGGTAGTTTTTAGCGAAATAATTCTCCAGTTTTACTAGAAATAAAAGTTTAATAATGGCGCTCAATGATGCAGAGGTTAAAAAACAGGTTAGTTGAATGTCATATGGTGAGATCTTTTAATTTTTTTCTTAGAGAAAGAACCTTCCATCGAAGGACTATGCCGGTCATGATGGGACTATTAAGCTTAAAGCTTACGTTTGAATTGAATTAAGTCTGAGTTATATGTGTACAGATTGAGCATATGATGGCTTTTATCGAACAAGAAGCTAAAGAAAAAGCTGAGGAAATAGACGCAAAGGTAAGTTATAGGATTCCTATAATAAGTCTTACAAGTCGAAGACGGCGGTGGAATGTTGTTTTGAATTCTAATTTATTATTCAGGCTGAGGAAGAATTTAACATCGAGAAAGGCCGACTGGTTCAGCAAGAAAGACTCAAGATAATGAATTACTATGAACGTAAAGAAAAACAAGTAGAGCTGCAGAAAAAAATGTAAGACTGACCACCCCCTCCCCCACAGTAATATTTAGAACGTTACGATGCCCACAATTCTTTGTTCTTCGAGTTTCATATGACGTCACAAAAATGTGTATTCTCTAATATGCATCCTATGATGATATACAGCCTTTTGCACAAATTATGAGACATTTTTATATATATAAATATACCTAACCAAATATCAAAAACACCCAAGAAATTATGGGATACCGTCGCTGATATTTTGTCTGTAACAACCTGATGCTAGGCAATCATGACAAAATATAATAGAGATATACCATAATTTCTGGGGTGTTTTTGATATTTGGTTAGGTACAGTATATTTATATATATAAAAATGTCTCATAATTTGTGCAAAAGGCTGTATATCATCATAGGATGCATATTAGAGAATACACATTTTTGTGACGTCATATGAAACTCGAAGAACAAAGAATTGTGGGCATCGTAACGTTCTAAATATTACTGTGGGGGAGGGGGTGGTCAGTCTTACATTTTTTTCTGCAGCTCTACTTGTTTTTCTTTACGTTCATAGTAATTCATTATCTTGAGTCTTTCTTGCTGAACCAGTCGGCCTTTCTCGATGTTAAATTCTTCCTCAGCCTGAATAATAAATTAGAATTCAAAACAACATTCCACCGCCGTCTTCGACTTGTAAGACTTATTATAGGAATCCTATAACTTACCTTTGCGTCTATTTCCTCAGCTTTTTCTTTAGCTTCTTGTTCGATAAAAGCCATCATATGCTCAATCTGTACACRTATAACTCAGACTTAATTCAATTCAAACGTAAGCTTTAAGCTTAATAGTCCCATCATGACCGGCATAGTCCTTCGATGGAAGGTTCTTTCTCTAAGAAAAAAATTAAAAGATCTCACCATATGACATTCAACTAACCTGTTTTTTAACCTCTGCATCATTGAGCGCCATTATTAAACTTTTATTTCTAGTAAAACTGGAGAATTATTTCGCTAAAAACTACCAAAAATATGAAGTCATTCACTAGGTTGTATTCTCATGTGACACGACCCCAGAATGCTCTGCGCACCCTTACGCAGGTGATAGCACAGGAACCCCAATTTGCTATCTCATTATTATAAAATGCAGCGACTTTATTTTTTTTCCACGTCGCAGTTCAGCAATCCCAAGGGACCCATAATCCATTGTTCCCAGCTTCGATCCTTGACTCGAGCACGTCTGAGAAATTCTTTCTTTCTTTTTAACTAAAATATTGTTCCAGGTTCTAGTCAGATTAGATTTTTATCGTAGCAATTTGTTTCATCACATTGTAATATTTACAAGCCACGTTTGTTAAATTTTAGAAACAAGATGCTTCAGGTCCATTTATAGTACAAATTAGTACTACTTAGATTTTGTACAGTTGCATGTTTAAGTGCGATCACTGTACTCAAACAGCATTTGGGATATTTATATATGCACATCAATTACTAAATATAATTGTACAAGAAATTGCTAATTTATAATACAATTTCAAAGATTTAGAGTGAGACCAATAAACCTGTGAAATTAAATGAGTATTGAAGTGTGGATATCTATTTCAGGGGTTGTTTACTTCACTCTAGTGTTTTCATCCTATGGTGGATGTTAAAGTGCTACTTGCATGAAAATGGCCTCACTTCAAAACTTCAAGCAATACAAATATATGACTCATTTATATCTATTAAAAACAATTGCGGGAAAATATTTGTTTTGGAATTATCCCACATCAGATAAATTTTGATTCAAAAGATGGAAGAACAAAAGGATTGAGTAGATGACGTCATCTACTCCAACAATTTTTGCCCAAATTATTAAGGATTTGCATGAATATTGGCTTGAAATCTGTTGCTTCATGATTATTACACCCATATGGATAGGTGTATTTGATTCCCAAGTCTTTTCTAATGTTTYGCAATTTTCATCCAAGTAGCCCTTTAAGTAATACCACAACACTTGCATCTCACTGTCACTGGAAAACACTAAACACAAGATTTTATTTTATTATGCCAGGCCAAACAAAAAGTAATTGAAAAGTAGCTTTTACATTTGCTTTAAACTGAGGMAGACAGTGAGCTTGTCATAAAAGGTTCCCTTTTTCATGTTATGCAAACTGTTTGTCYCTGTTCTTTGTAAGCTGAAGGAGTGACTTGCATTGTTTGAGACCATTTTTATTTACTGCTTGTAATCCAATACACAGGCTATTCACAAGATACAAGTGAGATAATGATGAATAAACAGCAACAAATGCACATTAAGTTATTAATAATCAAACCAAATGGAGAAGTGTGCTTATCAGAAAAATTGTTTAATACAGAAATGTTTACTGACTTGGTGAAGAGAATGCTGTTTATCTGTCATTCTCTGTTCAAGTGTGTTTACTCTATGTACCATTGAAGAACCTAGACAMGCTTTCATTCTTTACTATGCAAGCCATATAGTTTTGTAGCCATTTTGTAGTTGGTTTGTTTATGAAATAAAACTTTTTCTATAGAAAAAAATGTCAGGGGTGCTTATAGCAATCTCTTGAAAAGAAGCGTGAGCACCTATAATGAGACTATGATATATGTGCACTCATAACTTTATCTAAAATGTATTAGCATTAGTAGCCAGGGTATGACATGGTATTTCCCTGTGTATTAGGATCTTGTTTCATCTGACTCATGTTGGCGAAGAACGAATCACCCCCAGAAGAAGGATATGTGTTGGTGTACCCTGTCTGCTGAGGGTTTTGAGGTTGCTGTTGTGGCTGCTGTTGTTGGATCTGGTTGAAAGGTGCTGATCCCTGGCCAGCCTGCCCTGCAAAGTTAGCATTCTGTTGTGTTTGATATGTGCTGCTGTAATTACTGTATCCTGACTGACCATAACCAACATTACTGCCAAAGCTTCCTGTATTTTGTGTGTTTGAAAAGTTTGTGTTTTGGTTAAAGGGTTGGTTTGACATGTTGTTTTGTTGTGGTGTGTTTATAACTTGTTGTCCACCAAAGTTTCCAACGTTTCCTTGGCCACCAAAGTTTCCAGTGTTCTGTTGATTGCCATAGTTGTTTCCTTGGTTTGTTGGTTGGTTTTGGTTGTTGCTAAAACTGGTGTAATTGCTGTTATTACCACCAAAGTTTCCAGTGTTGTTAAATGCCATGTTGTTATTGCTCACATTTGAACCACCAAAGTTACCTGTGGATATTCAGTTGCAAAGGTTATTGATCATAATATATGCATTATGACACAAAAAATAATGTCCGGTCACTACATAGTGAAAACAATGCACTCACCCTGATTGTCTCTGTTGTTCTGATTCCATCCACCTCCACTACCATCAGGTATGGAGTTCAGGCATAGTTCTATGTACCGATGACCTGCCAAACAACAATAATGGTACACTTAGATTTTGGGTTGCTAACAGACAGCTAGCCTGCAGGCAGCAGAACCAAAACTGTTGTTGTGTTCGTCTGCGAATCAGTGACAAAGATTATGTTTGCTGATTTGCAGATGAACACATAAACAGTGTTGGCTTGACTGCATGCAGGCTAACAGACAGCTTAAAAGCAGAAAGTGATTTGGACCTGTATATTATACAACTGCTATCATTGCAATTATTCTGCACTCACCCATGGACTGTCTATCTTTTAACATTGCAGCCTGGGCATCTGAGTGAGTGGCAAAGTCAACCTCAGCTACACCAGAACACCGTCCATCAGATCCCCATTTTATCTTGATGTCAACAGGGTTTAATGGCATAAAGAACTGCTTGATATCATTCTCTCTGGCAGCAAAAGGTAGTCCTCTCATACAAACTGTATGACCAGTTGAACTGTTGCCAGAGAACCCAAACCCTCCACCACCACCGCCCCCACCACGTCCATGTCCTCCTCTACCACCACGTCCACCACGCCCTCTGCCTCCACTGAAGTTATTAAATTCATTAAAACCACCACTGTTGAACCCACCACCAAACACTGGACCAAAGTTTCCTCTTCCTCCACCACCTCTATGTCTAAAAACATGTTAAGAGAATGAAGCAATGCTTTGAGTTTTTAAAACAGATAATAATTATTATCAATAAATTTGTCAATGCACAACAAACAATCAAAAACAACTTCACATGGGTTTAACAATCATTCAAGGTTAGTTGCTCCCTCGCAACAACAATGCAACATGTTCTCCGAGGCATAACAGATATTTTTCCATACTGAAGTGTAAGACCAATCACTGTAAGAACACATTCATCACAGCCTCAACCATTAACAAAAACAGTATTCAAGTGTTCAAAAACAAAAGTATCAAAAACAGCATTCAAGTATTCAAGCCTTTTAAAAAATATGTAATTCAGCCTTCACAGGCTGCCATATATTTTATCAATAAACTATCCATCTATCTAACTCATATGCTCAATTTACCTTAACAACTTATTATCATTAAAAACTAATGCCTACCTTCTTTCATAGTCACCACGCCCAAAACGAGGTCCACCAAATGAGCCTGTTCTGTCATATGGACCAGGCCTGGTAGACATCAAAGGCTTGGGCTTGGTCACATAGCGTATCTCTGACTTGGCACTCTTAAACAACTCAATATACCTAAAAACAATTACCATTCCAATTACTACACGCCATTCACAATAATTTTAATTCTGCTTTTAGTTGCTCAACATCAAGTTTTTCTATCAAAATTGAAGTGTGACTGAAAAATTCATGGGAAACATTAATAATAATAGCAGTACTTGTACAATTTGTAGATGTGAAAGCTTGAAATATGGTGATATTGAAGATCATTTTATTTCCCATGACCAGAAAAAGGACAAAAACAACTTTGTGTTAACATAAACTATATAAAAATCATTATAAAAAAACCATTGATGGTAAACAAAAACCTATTAGATTCAGTTTTTAGGAAAAGTTCATTACGGTTTATAAGGATAGAGTTTGTTTTATCACTTTATTCTCATATGACATTATAAAGACAAAGAAAACAACTGCACAATATATTGAACATACATGTATTTTACATTGCACTAAAAAAAAGCTTTTTGTATTTAATACGCAATTATTAGTTACTGTACTTCTCACATGAGGTTGCTCAAAATGATACATGCAAAAGAATCCAAATTTCTTCATTTTCTTGGCTTAAATAATAATCCACTTGCACTCCCATAGACACGACAATCTAATCTACACTTACCTTTATAAAAAATCTAACTGTGACATTTCCCAAAACAATGAATTACTTAAGTACACTCCAGCAATTTTCACTTGACAGTGCCATGATGGACCCAATTTTTACTTCAAAGTTATATAAAAACTGCTTGATCACTCAGTGAATGTTTGAATGTTGATTATGAGACTGCATGGATGTTGCTCATTTTACTACATTTTATATATACTAGTAAGGGACATATTTTTTTTATGAATATTTTTCATCTGCTGTTTTTAGCCCACTTTGAGTGCACCCTGCATGTAGTAGGATTAAGATATCTTTGTGTCTGATATAACTGTTGATTCATAGAAAAAATGCTTTTATGTTAAGATTTATTTCACTTTTTGTTCTGCCTTGAATTTGAATGTAGTGGTGTGTTGAGCGCATTACTGATCAAGTATTTTTGAAATGCCAAATTACTGTCTCACTATAGAACTAATGACTTGCAGTCTGGAAGACAATAGCTTTGATGAAAGGCAGAGTTGAGTGAAAATTGCTGTTATAGATGAAATGATTACCCAATACAACCAATACTATACTGTAGTCTCAGGGTCCCTGACCCATACCACCACAAATCCCCCACCTGTGCCCAATCTTTTCCTTGTCTTTTTGCATGGCTTGCTCAGCTATATCTGGTGAAGCAAACTCCACATATGCTTCCCCTGAGGTCTTCCCCTCCTCCTGTAATGTGATGGTTATCCCATTCGGTACTATCTCGAACCCTTCAACGGAACACCAGGGGAATATAACAATTGTTATTACAACAAAAAACCCTGTTATTATTAGTATAATATACTATCAAAGGAGAACCAAACCAAATCCTTGTCAATTGGAAAATAATATTTGTAACTACTTGCTATAGGTAATGGTTTTTCAAATAAAAATAATTATAATTCAAACTCACTTTGAAATCAACCCTTCTGAGTTTTGTTGTTGTTTATTACCTGTAAAAAATTGTGCTATTTCTTCTTTCGAACAGCCATAAGGCAACCCGCGTAGACGGACAACTGATTCAAAGTCTTTGTCCTGTGGTGGTCCCATACGCTTTATTACCCAGTCCATTTCTTCTGGTTTAGAGCGAAACACTTCAATGTATCTTTTACCAATATGGTGGTTAGCTTTGGCCATCCCCCTGAAACAATCAAAATATTAATTCAACCACTTATCATATAATCATATAATCAAAAGTTGTTATTCTAGGTTTCTTTGTATATTGGAAGTAGAAAAATGTATTTTTTGACATAATTTTCTTTTAAATATAATTAAATGATAAACATAGTATTTCATGGTTGCTTCTTCTGGAGATAAAATCCATATCTCCATGTGCCCATGTAATATCCTCTACTTCTTACAGTGATATAAAGAAATTCTGACCTCTAGCATATATAGAGGATATTACAGAGATATTGATTTTATCTTTGAGCATTGGATAGATCTCTCACAAGTGAGCATAGTGAACAGGAGGTCTTCAACATAAGAAGTTGAAATCTGTATCTACTTGTGATCTGATCTTACTTCTCAACATCTTCTTCTGATGCCAGTTCAACGAAGCATTCTCCACTGGGCCGTCCATCCAATCCATAGGTAAAATGAATACCATTTAGACCATCCACTATATTACAATCTGTGAACCAAAAACACCATTATTAAATACTGTACACTGACCGGATACTTGCAAAYAATACAGAAGAAATTGTTGATCATGAAGTTCCTTGAGATTTTGCATTTTCTTTTGCGATCTTTAAGGTAAATCTAATGCCTGCTGGTCACTGAAAAAGTTTGTTAAAGTTGATTTATTTTTTCAAATAAACTCTCCTGTGCGTAGTACACACAAAGCTTACATTCAGCTTACTTCTCAAAGAAAACCATTGTATTTTTTATGGATTTTCAAAACTAATCACCTTTGAAAAAGTCTTGAACATCTTCTGCACTTGCACCCCAAGGCAAACCTCTTGCACGAAGAACAAACTGTGAACTATTCATCTGCGAAACACAATGACAACCATTGACATGCAACCATGAACGAACATTTGTAGCTCTTCATTGAGTTAAAATTCTACTTTTATCAAGATATATCGATGTAAAAAGGACAATTTATTACTAAACTATAACTAAGTCTTCTTAAGATAGCCAAATCTGTTTTTTGAGAGCAGATACATCGGTTTTTCTATGAATGAATGATTGCCCGCCATTTTGATATGATTTTGCCTCGTGTCCAGTGAGATTCAACATTGTGCCGAACTTGAAGCAACGAGCTTTTATCTTTGAAATACTCAATTCAGATCGGGCGTTAAGGCTATAAACTTTACCTCAGAATCGATGGAATGCCTCTTGTTTTCTATAAATGTCTTTTAAAATGAATTTTTTTGCCGAGAGATAAACGAGACAGACTCAACATTTGTCGGCCATATTGGGATGGTACAAGATGCCAAAAATAGAATACATACCTCGCTTTTGATGTCACTCATGTCAGAATGTCAGATTCTAGACGGTAGATACACCAGTTATTCAAAGCCTTATCAAAGTGGACAAACAATCAAGGCTACCGAAAACAGGCGCGTCGATGCAGATGCAAATTCAAAAGACTTATCCAAGACCACGTGGTATACTTGTCTAGCACGCACAGGGTTCCCACCCAGGTATAGAGGAAAAGATGCAACGCACACGCACTACGAGAATCTTTATCAACTCCCATTTATCAACTCCCATCCCCTTATTCGAAAAACATATATTTTAGAAGAGATGCATAAATCGAGTAAGTTTTCGTCAACAATTAATTAGGTTAATCTGATAAAACAATCTCTACTCCTCTCTGTGTATCTTGATGTATTAAAAAAATTAAATAAATAAATAGATAAAAAACAACAACAGCAATAACAACAGAGAGAGCTCCCTCTCCCTTGTCGCTCCGCCCAAATCCCCTTCTAGAGAGCCTGATACTCACAGCGGCTGATCCAGGATTTTGCTCAGGAGGGGGTGCACAACTCTCAGGAGGGGGTGCACCCCACAAAAATCATGGTTTTCCTTTGTTTGCTGTATGGATTATCCAAACTTGTCTACTAAAAGGACTCAAATGAAAAATATCTGCTGTACAACTTATAAATAAATAGAAATAAGTATCCTAGTCTCCACAAGTCATAGACTAATTCTAAAAGTTGCTTATAGTCTGATGCTAGTTTGAACAACAAAACCAAATACAGTGAAAACTACAATGTATGACTTGTGTTATCAGTTTACAAATTTCATTGTCAAGAATTAAATTTAACAATGCAAGAACTGGGAAGACTGAGTGTCAATGTAGATTGATGTGCACAAATGTCTTATAGATTTTATTGAACTTATTAAAAAAAATATTTCAGTATACAAAATCTAACAAAATAATGCTCTACAGTAGCCTGCGTTACATCTGGTTTTTACCGGATGCAGGGTTCGTACAGATTTGTTCATACAAAATTCAAGGACTTTTCAAAGACTTTTTAAGGATTAATTTTCAATATTCAAGGACTCCAATTACAAAGAGAAAAATACAGTTAGTAAACTTACTAACACTGCAGTCAAATTTTTTAAGAACGTTTTCTTTTGGAGAAAATTTCCCTCAATCTCTATTAATTTCTTGGCCGCCATATTGTACAACAGTACAGCAAGTCTCGCAAAAAGAATTGAATACTTGTCATTTTGCTTTAAAGCTGGGCTAAATTGATCCCCAAAACATTACTTTATAACAACCAAGACTGATTCAAGGACTAAATTATYATTTTCAAGGACCTTTCCTCCAAATTCAAGGACTTTTCAAGGAAAATTTGCAGTCAAGGACTTTTCAAGGACCTAGCTAAAAAATCAAGGACTTTTCAAGACTGTACGAACCCTGCGGATGTAATGCAGGCTGACTCTACAGCAAAATGAAAGAAAAAAAGAACATTTAGTCACATTGAAACAACAGAGTACCAGTGGTTAATCTGTGAAGTAAAATCTATGCATGATGAAGTTACAATATTTGTCACGATATTGATTGGTGAAACATTTCAAAAATATTTTCCAACATTAAGTGAAGGAAAGGGTACTAAACTGAGGGAAACAGGTACTATTAGTCATTAGTAAATCATAATAACTTTACACCAGTAAATATCTATGAATTTATATTTTGTTTTCACTAAGGACAAATAGCTGCTCAGCAGTGAAAACGATTGTGTTCTTTCAATGTACTTTCAGTGAAATAGTTTTTATTTGATGCCTATTCTGCTTCACAATTCCCTTTAGCAACTCATGCTTTTTCAATTTTAAGTGAGATGACCATGCATAGGCACCTTAGCTTTTATATTGGATAGTTATTCACAGTTATCTATCATTGAGAGTTTATGGATCACCTTGCATCATTGCAAAGCTGTTGGTACCTTTCAAGATGGTGGAGGGAACTGTGCGGGAGAAAACTAGGCAGCTGATTCACAGACACATGGCACACTGTACTTTCTTTATAAACACTTCAAATTGAACAAAAACTAACAACAAAGATCAAATTAATGTGTATTATGTTATACACATGATTACCTAACATATATCATTAAAAAAAATGTAGCTACAAATTGTTTTAGTCTTTAAACCTGTAAAATTACTTCAACATTACAACTTTAATTGTTGCCGTTGGTGATGTTCTCTGGATAGAAGTAGAAATCTTTTCTCATCATTGACACAATGCTTGGAATTTGTTTCTTGCGATCAGAGTAAGGATCGTTAGTCCTTGACTGGTAAGTTGCCACCAGAGCATTCACACGTGTCATCATGGTTAGAAGATCAGTTGTCTTGGCATACTTGTCAAATACTTCAGCAATGGACTGGATAAACCATGACCCATTCACTGAATTTCTCCAAGAGTAATATCCAGGAACAGTAGAGTATGCATAAAGGAAGTCTGCTTCTACAGGGATCTGGACACGCTTGTCAGCTGGAGGTGCATCAGTTGCGTCAACACCATCCATGTATTCATGACCTGARGTAAAAATAATTTTTGAAATAAATAAACATATAAATAAATAATAACAAATTAATGAAATATAACAATGAACTAACTAAATCAATGAATAAATGGGTAAAAGCTAATGGATACATCATAAAATGGGAAAACAGGATTCATCATTAAATGATGAAAAAAGTTATTATGTGAGAACTCTAGCCAGGATTGGGTAGGGGTGTGCCGCGGGGACCTCAAAACCCTGACCATGTTCCAGAGTAAAATCGCTGAAAATGATACCCTGTTCCAGAGTAAAATGCATATTGCTTGCACTCTATCATTTCCATGGACTAAAATGGGATTTGGAAAATGTAAGTGGTCTTCTCCCTGTGCAATACTGTGGACATACCTTGGCATGCTTGAAAGATAAAGATCTTTGGTTTACCAACAAGATTGGTGCCTTTGAACCACCTCATCATATCTCTAATTTGAATGGTGCCATCAGTAGCATACAAAATCCCTTCCTCACCATGGGTCAATATACTAACTATTAATGCATTTTCTTTACTGTAATCTCTAGCAGCAAGACTCTTGAAAATCTTTTGGATTTCATAGACACTTTGATCATTGTAAACCAATGTATTAAAACCTAATTTTTGGAAAACTTTGTCAAGGGCATCACGGTCAACATCAGTTCCATTTCGAGGATACCGATGCATTCCAGAAGCAGGAAGGAATGACTTGTTGTTTATGATAACAGCCACACCACGTGGGGTCTTGTCCATCTTGTACATACTTCTAGTGTCAATTGGCTCACTTGTGCGCGTACGGGTACTGCCACTTCCAAAGATTGATAAGCCACCATCAGGATTGTCTTCCCCAGAATTCTCTGAAAACATTTATATATTATCAGACATTTTAAGGAAGCACAAGTGAAGCAGTGATGTATTGAAACTTTAACCAGTAAGCAAGAGGGGTTTTAAAGTTCAGCTTTGAGGACTTTCATAATGCCTGACACTAATTAGCATTTAAATTCATAATGCTGACAAAAGAAAATACTTAGATGATACAATATCAAAGCTAAAGATAAGTGTTGAATAGACATCCAAATCATAGTTTTCATGGACTATTTTGTGTGAATAGATTTGTTGTATTACCTGATGCACCATCAGTGCTAGCAATGGGAGTCTTTTCTGCAGTTTGATCACTGAATGTAGACTCAACGGACCTTGGATGGACAGCAGCTCTAGTCACTCGCTCATCACTCTCACTTGTTGGGGCACCTGAGAAAGCAATCGAAATATGAAAATATTATAACTGTGATAATCATTTTCTTGTATAAGTCTTGACTAGAGTGTCACCTAACTGTTATTCAACAAAGGAGTGATTGATAGGTTGATTGATAGAGTCTTTCCTTATGGCAAGTACACTTAAATCCAATATCATTAATGCCAAGAAAAAAAAGATGCAAAACCACTCAACTTGTTGAACATTCTTCTTGCTGTACAAGTTTAGAATTGATGTTTGCTTAAGTACTAAAAAATTATCAAGCAACAAAAAACAAACCATGAAAAGCAAGATTTGAATAGCAACAACGTGCGAGAAGTTGTTTTTTTTTAGTATCTTGTACTAATCGGCCTTTACGATTATCTGAAGTTGATTTACACCTGTTTACAAAAATTGTTGGAAAATAGCAAATATTGTATTCGGAATAAACTAACAGCAAGTTTGCTCTACTCTGACACAGCCTTAGTTAGTTCAAATAATTCAATTCATAATCCCAAATGCTGGCACAAACTGTTAAATTTGTAAACATATCAGTTACTTAGTAAACTCCATACATTTGCCTAAGCAACAACACTACATTGTGTAGATTGCTTGTGCAAGTGGCTCCATATACTGCATTAATTGCCCAAAAATATTTTTTTAGCAAGTGGAATGGCAACCTAATTTTTGTTGATATTTTAATAAATGCTGTATGTTTTGAAAATAAACAACTCTATAAACAGAGTGAACATTAACACCACCTGAATTTACCACGAACATTAATGACAATGACCTAACTAAATCACTAGGTTCCAAATAATTATCCTCTAAGAACAGAAGTATTATTAAGCTAAAACCTTGAGATTACAAAATATTACAATGACACTAATTCAACCAACCTGGAGATTGCATATCAACCACAATTTCGATGCTAAATGACTTACTTACGTAGCCTGGTTATACCCGCAGTAAGATGTTTCAAAAACTTATGGAGTGTCAATAAAACCCAAAGTCGATGTACTAGTACTTCTCAGAATCACAAAGTTCCTGTTTTAGTTATTAAAACTTGAGGATATGATGTAAGAGAAATGTCTACAATTTTTAACGTACAGGAAGTTGCTGGGGATGTGACTGCTGGAAAAAATTCAAGCGAAGTCATCACTCAAAATTATCTAAAAATTCACCTTTTGAGACAACAGTACGTCTCTACCAAAAACTTATATCAATACGTTTTTACGATAATCATTTCAGTTAATCCATTCCATCAAATAAAAGCAAATCTTAACAATATTCCCAATTTGTTAACTGTCACGTATTGTGAAAATTTTCTGCACGATTGAATCTACATATTAAAAACGTTCGCATGTACCTTGAGTTGGCTGTGAAGAGGGATTGAGAAGTCTTTCTAGATGAGGAGAAATGTCTATCAAGGCATCGCAGAAAGCGTTGAATGCCTTCGGTCCTTTCCTAGGCAGCATGTCAAGCAAAGTTTGTGCTCTTTCTTCTCGAGTGGATTTCGCCTGGACGGTATCTTTGTCATTTTCATCCAGTATTCCTGCGCCATAAAGGTTGGATGCAACTTTCGACGCTTCTAAATCACGAATTAAAGCTACCCGATTGGATCGGAGAGCGTCTCTGTGTATTTGTTCCATGATAGACGCTACAAATCGCAATTTTAAACGAGCAGTTTCTCGGAAGTTTGGATTTTGTTCGASTACGCCAAGATTTGTACTAGCCGTGACGTCATTAGGCCCAGGCTTTTTCGGATGATAAAAGGGGGAGGGGGAATACTTTTTATAAGGGGGTTTTTGTGAGTATTGCTATAAACGACCGATGACCTATAATTTGTTAGGATAAAATCTGAAATGCAAACAAGTTTACTTTCCATCCTCAATTCAGGTTTTTTAGATCATTTTTTAAATTTTGATGAAAGAAGCTTTTTTAAAATACAATTCCTGTATGGTACTCTCTACCGCAGTTAGTTTTGCCTCAAATTCCGTCAGCAAGTAACTTTGTAGCGGCCTTACCTAGTAAACTAATCCGGTAATGGGTCATGTTGTCCGTTTTACATGTCGTCGTGACGTCTTGTAGTCGTTTACCATATTTATTTGTTTGTTTATATTAATTATCTACCCGTTTTATTAGTTACCATTGCCTGTCATTGTTCTCTAGGCCGCCGCCCCATTGCCGGATTAGCTCACTAGTG